CCTAAGTCTTTCTTTGGCTGCGCTCTGGAAGTGATCTGTTAATTCTGCTAAACTTTAATTAAAACTGAAACTAAAACTGAAACTAAACTTTATAAAAACTAAATAAAAATGTGTTCACAAAATAAAAACTCAACTAAAACTAACAACAATATTAATGAAACTAATTAAAACTAAACTGAATTGTATAGCAAATTTGAAAATTAAAAATTCAAAACTATAATAACCTTGTTACTTATTGGTCTTTATAATTATTTTGCACTTTAATCTGTGTGAAATTTTTTACTTTATACATTTTTGTGTATTACTTTATTGTATGTAAATGTTATTTTTGTTATAAGAAAAAAGTTATTAAACCTGTTATAGTTTATGACAACACTGTTTTTGCAACTAAATTTCAATACCGTGATAATATTGTAATCCGTGATAAAAGCATTAGCAATTAATGGCAACATGAAAATTTCATACCGTCATATGCCTAGTTGATATAGAGTTTGTGAGGTTGAAATCAAATGTGAGGAGATTAAAAAAAAAACTGGAGACTGCACAGAACAAAACAAAAGCACAGAATATAATAAAATAAAACAAAACACAGAACAAAACAAAACAAAACAGCACAAAAATAAATAAATGCATAAAAAACATTACTGTTGCACTGTCTTATGCCGAGTTCACACTGCACGATTTTAGCCCGATTTTTCACTCGCCGACAGGTTTTGCGAAATCGCCGACAAATGCCCGACATCGGAGGCAAATCGGTGCTCCTTCACGCGAGTGACAATCACGCAGTGTGAATTATCAAAGACGCGATCTGAGGGAATCGCCGACACGTCGCAGACGCCCGCAAAATTTTTGGCATGCTAAATATCTGGAGCTGTCGGCGATTCACAATCACACTGTGTGAAATGAGTTCTGACTGAAAAACACATCTGCGATGACCTACAGCCAATGAGAGACCAAGCTACAGGGCAAAGGGACGTTCGGGGAGGAGTTATAGACCAGAATATCAGTATTTTAATAGATATATGAACAATTATATCTTACAGAAACAAGCACAAACATTTGCTTGATCAGCCACAACATCAGCATAACAGTTAGTGCAAAATTATTTACCTCCAACTCTCTTTGCAGAACACCCAATCCCTGTTCTTTTTCTTTTTTTTTTCTTTTTCTCCTTGTAGCTGGAAATCTGCTCACAGACTATTTGCGGGCTATATATATATTTTAATAATTACAGTCTCGCTCGAGAACTCCGGTCTGACGCACGCGGGTTCTCGCGTTATTTCCTTATCACTTCTCGCGTGTGTTTTGTTGTGAAACCTAGTTTGCGGACCAGACAGAGCTGTCGGCAATTCTTCCTATTGTGAAGTCATGCAGTGTGAAACCCCCTGTCGCCGATCCATCGTGCAATGTGAACACAGCAGCAACTGAATGCTACCCCAGATAGTCACGCAGTGTGAAAACCACGGCGATCCGACGAGTTTGAAAATCGTGCAGTGTGAACTCGGCATTAACGGCTGCTTGCAAAATCATACAGCGTGACCAATGCAGTCTGATTCATAAACAACTGACTCTCAAAGTCACAAGTTATCAGTTCAAAATTTTAGGCATGTATGTAGAGCTGCACGATTAATCGTTAAAAGATCGCGATCTCGATTCAGACAACCACACGATCTCATTTCTAAACGACAACGATTCTCCCGTTTCTATTAAACCTTTGACAAAGTCTTACCGGATCATTCAAATCTGCGTTCGCACTGCCGCTGACACACAGAGAGCAGTTACCATGTTTGGTTAAGAAACAGCTTCACAAACAGTCTTTTCAACTACACAGTATTATTTCTGTCGTACAGTCATTCATATTATCACAGAAATACTGGGATGAAAGTTTATAATTCAGATATAAACATTGATGTCTATGGTATAGCGCGACCAAAACAGAGCAAATCCGCGTTTGAAAGTTACTGCCACATAACATTTGTGTCGATTGCACTGTTTCGCCACTAGGTGGTGAAAAGTGACTTGAATGAATCATTTATTCAAGAGAATCAAATAAATGTTTTTTGAGCAGCAAATCAGAATATTTGAATGATTTCTGAAGGATCATGTGACAGGAGTAATGATGCTAAAAATTCAGTTTTGAAATCGCAGGAATAAATTACATTTTAAAATATATTCCAATAGAAAGCAGTTATTTTAAATCGTAAAAATATTTCACAGTATAACTGCTTTTGCTGTATTTTGTATCAAATAAATGCAGGCTTGGTGAGCAGAAGAGAATTCTTTAAAAAACATAAAAAATCTTACTGTTCAAAATCTTTTGACTGGTAGTGTATATTAAAATGTTTAATAATTCATTCAAATTAATTAAACACTTTTAAATAGAATGCAGCAATAATATTTTGCCACACATTATTTTGTTTAGCTCAGAATCGTGGGAGAATCGTGATCTCTATTTGAAAAAAAAAAATTGTGATTCCCAAATTATCCAGAATCGTGCAGCTCTACATGTATGCATACACACATTGTGCAGCATGAACTTAAACTATCAGACAGCAGCCAGTGTTTTTAAAGAGATAAGCATGGAAAAATACATTTGCATAATCCCAGCTACTCTACTCTAATCTCTTTTGGTTGGGTTGGACTGGTCCTATCTCAGGGACCATAAAGAGGAACATATCAGACTTACAATAGGTTCAGTTGGCAGAACATGAAAGAAAAAGAACATCAGTGTGTCTAAAAAATTTTTTTCATCAAGCTCATGCGCAAATCCCTGCATGTGATCGCAACATCTGATAAAACCATATCTTGTTTTCCTGTTATGGTATCTCTCAATGACTAGAAGGGATATCAGTGAAGAGTATCTAACTAAATTTTGGTTTCTGGTTAGTATGAAAACAGATTCGACCTACTGATGTGGTCTATAGATCCAGCACAGAACTTTCCATAGAACTTCTTGGCTCCAAGGTCCCTGAGGTCTTGGATGGTGTAAGGCCAAAGGTGCAGGACATTATTCCTGGAGAAGGTGTCTCTTTTTTCAATCACCACCACCTTGGCACCAAGCAAAGCCAGCTCTATGGCAGTCCGAAAGCCACAGGGACCGCCACCAATGATGAGACACTGTGAAAACAAACAAGTTTGGCATTATTTAAAGGACTTATTTAAATGACACTGTTGGGCATTTTTATGGAGAGCGTCTACAAGTGGAAGCAAAGACTCACTCCAAACACGTCAACTTCCTGACCAATCAAAACCAATTTGTGCATTCCCATTCTTCTGGCACAATCAAATGGTATGATTTCACCTACCCACTTGTCACTTTAAACCCAATCCAAGCAAGTTCAAGCACAAGCCAGGACTGGGTGACGTCTCTACTTGTCTCTCTCAACAAAGCAGGGATTATGACTGTAGTTTCTAAGAAAAACATGACAAGTGTTACGGTTTACTTGACCTAATATGGTGTACAAACTCACATATCCATAAAAGGCTGGTTCAAAAGTGGTCATAAAATGGCAAAAACACTTTAATCACACTTTTATTACCTGTCATTAGATGGCAAGAGAAGACAATATTGAACAAAATGAATTGCTGCACTAACCTGGTGGCGTTTAGATGGAAAGACAGTTTCAAAGTTTTGGCTTTGGGAAATGTAATAGTTTGACCATTTATGTCCACATATGGCAATCATTTTCACATTAGAGGTGTTTGAACAAGGTGCATTTATAAAACTCTTTAAGCTTAAATATGCAATTCATATATTTAAAGGGATAGTTCACCCAAAAAAGAAAATTCTGTCATCGATTACTCAACCTCATGTCGTTCCAAACCTGTAAGACCTTCGTTCATCTTCGGGACACAAATTAAGACATTTTTAATTAAATCCGAGAGCTTTCTGACCCTGCATAGACAGCAACGCAACTGAAACGTTCAAGGCCCAGCTTCGACAGACACAGAAGAGAAGAAATTGTTGAATAAAGTCGTTATATTGGTTTTCTTTTTACACAAAAAGTATTCTCGTAGCTTCATAACATTAAGGTTGAACCACTGATGTCACATGGACTATTTTAACAATGTCCTTATACCTTTTTGGGCCTTGAACGTGGTAGTTGTGTTGAGTCAGGGTCAGGGTCAGGGTCAGGGTCAGAAAGCTCTTGGATTTCATGAAAACTTAATTTGTGTTCTGAAGATGAATGATGGTCTTACGGGTTTGGAACGACATGAGGGTGAGTAATTAATGACAGAATTTTCATTTTTGGGTGAACTACCCCTTTAAGAGGAATTAATTTTTCCAATTCAACAATTCAGGAATGTTATGTTCTCCTTTGCACATGAACAACTTTAGTTTTGTGCAACCAACCAAACTGCTTTTACAGGAACCACAATTTCTGCCATCATTCTTTATCTTAGTGTTTGACTGGTGATCCCAACTTCCTGTAAGATGAGTCAGTATGTCTACGCTTCCTGTTCCAGACATGATCCCTGGAGAAAGTGCTACTCTCAGCTTCAGACACCACTGTAGGCTTCTGTCTCTTTACATTACTACTTTTGAAGACATTTAGAAAGGCGTTTTCTGTGCCAGAGCAATGCTGACCTGCATTCAAAAGCCAAGCTTTAGGATTAATTTTACTGTCTTTCAAGAATGGAAGAAGTTCATTTATTCATTCATTCAGAGTTTCCATTTTTGGGTGAACTATTCCTTTAATACTGTTGTTGTGAAATAAGTCATCAAATTTGTGCGAGATAAACCTTAAGCGCACAATGCAAACCTATGCAAACAAACTACGACTTGCTCCACAACCAAAATAACAGCAATAATCGTAGCATAGACCGAGTTAAAACACTAGAAATAAATAGCTAAAGCCCCAGAGATTAGCATTTAATCCTCTTAAACTGACACTTAACTGCAAAACAAATATTCCTTAAAGGTTTCCAATTATTTCAACACCTTATCGAGCTCAAATGAGGTCAATAAGTCCACAGGCAAAACCACTATTGAAAATGCGCTAAGCACAATCTCAATACGTCTGCTAAGTCAAGTGACCTGAGATTGACTCTTCCATTGAATGCTCAGTGCTCACAAACATCTACACAATAACACAGTGGTTTAGTTAATGCATAGCAGATTTTGACAGTAACCCTGAGCTTAGAGTTAAACAAAGACGACTTATTTTCCCAAGCTAACACAATAATACCAGCCCAAACACTTGCTAGCATGCAGCCTCCACAAAAAGTAAGCCCAGATTAGCATGGTATGGCACTCCAACATTGAGATCATGCCATTCTCATGAGTTAAAGCAACATTACGGAATCATCTGATGAGGAAAATCATTTGTATGGGATTTCAGTGGCGTATTTTTACAGTCAAACCATTGCTAATGCTAACATGACGATTCGGATCTCTTAAACGCAAGCATTTTAGGCCATCTCTAGAGGTAAAATCTATTCTAAATGAGCTCTAGATAGACAAAACCCCTAACCTCCTAACCTTTGACCCTTCAGTCCAACGGTCAACTGCAGTGGAAAAATGGCTAAAACTAAATGATGCTGATCCTCATTTCCTGTTTCCTTTTATAAATAGAAAGAACACAAGATGCAGTGCCAAAAGAGCCATCGCAACAGCGATCTCAGCCATTTTTATCAGGAAAAAGTGATTTGACTAACAAATATGGATATGAAAATGAGTTGCTGTTGGTGCTATTTAAATTCTCTTTAGTTATGCAGCAAATAGTGACATTTTTAGCCAAAGAATCCCATAAATGTACAGCTAACAAGTTTGTCATCTTATACAACATAAGATCATCAATTAAAATCTCCACGTGAGCTTTCAAAGCACCTTTATTTAAAGATTTTTGTTTCCTCTAAGTGTGAGATTTTAAGTACATGTCTAGAGCTCTACAGACTTACTCTGGTGTCCACGCAGGCTTTGCCCTTACTGTACTCCTTGTGGCTTACTCTCTTGTCCAGTTTCCCCCAGAGGCCTTTGGCCTTCCAGTAGGTGACGGCAGCTTTCAGGCTGCTGTAGAAGCCTCTGTGGTCGGAGGGGTTCAGCTCCAGCTGCCTGCAGAGGACGCTGAAGGCCTGCAGGGTGCCTTTACAGGTAGTGGCCTGCACGAAGTTCTCAAACAGCTGGCCGGCCTGAGATGTACGCTCGTCCTCCATCTCCCCCATCCTTCCTATTTTAACTCACTCTTTCCCTCTGTGGACAGGGGGTGCTGGCATTCCTTTTCAAGACTGGGGAAAGAAAAGGAAGATTAGGCTTTATTTGTTTTTACACTAGGACCAAAGTGACATAAATTTCATGATTTGCAATCAGCCATCCATATGTGGAAAAAAAACATCCTATATATGGTTATACAGTGCTGTGAAATTACTAAAAATGGTAGGCAGTTCACATTGTGTAAATTCATTTTTTGCTTTAGGGCTCTGATTGCAGCCCGTCAATGCTGTTTGTATATAAAGGTAAATTATATCAATAAAACACCACTGTCCTTATAAGAACTAGGGATATAGCCTACACATCTACATAATTTCATAAAAAGCAGGGCGATTTAAACTGGGAATAAATTGTGAAAATTTAAATGATAAAAAAAAAAACATTACATTTACCAAATAATTTGGTATAATGCATAAAACTAAATACAATAAACAATAAATAGTACTAAATAATAAAAAATAAAAAGTACAAAAAATACAGTAAAAGTAAAACGGGTACATAAATAATACAAATATATAAAAGTAAACCATCAACTTAATAAAAGTCATTTTTTCCTGATAATTATAACAATTTGCTTTGACAATGACAATTGCAAACAATTATTTAATTTTGTTGGGTTGGTTTTTTTATATTTTGGAAATGTGGTGTCCCATGCCAGGGGAATATCATATTTGGAATAAAATAATAATAAAATAAAATAAATAATAAAAAATAACAAAATCAAACAAAACTAAAACAAAAAATTAAATAATAACATAAAATAAAAAATAAAATACTAGTCAACAGCTGGACAAAGTCAACCATCTGTACAAATACCTAATAGCAATGTACATGTCAATCTGGACCAACAGACAATGCCTTGGTAAAAACAGTGCATTCTATCCTGAAGTACTTCTGGTAAATTAAATGAAAATGCTCTAGATTTTTAGCTGAGTGACACTTGGCATGTGCTGTAAAATAGGCCAGAAGAGTCACGTTAACTCAGAGTCAAGTGCTTGATAGGATTAATGCATGCAGAGCAAACGGGACAGAACAAAGGAATGTTTAACGAGAATCAGGACACCAAGATTGGCCCAGTTGTAGACAACCTGTGAGCCAGAAAATATTTTCATACACAAAGAGCTGCCAGCACATTCTTCAAAAATTTCTCAGAAGAAGAGTGTAAATATGTTTGGAACGACAATATTATGCATTTCTCAATGCGTCCTTCAGATGAATTGGTTGAGGAAATCAATTCGTCTTCCAGTTGCAAATGAAGAGTTGATTTGGGAGTGAAACCAGAGCGGAGTGATATGTGAATGATTTGAATGCATCACCTGAACGAGTGAGCAGACTTGTCGAAAGCTTGAACCCAATAGCAGTCCTGCATCTTTCTCTCCATTAACACTCCTGAGGGTCACTTGAGTCGCAGCAGCCTAATCAAATCTGACAGCTGGCAAGACCTTCTCATTTATCTGCAGGGTGGCATTAGCTGCTCTCTCCTGATTCATTTGTGCAGCCACATCCACTGTTTATTACCATTTTCACTGGTCCTCTACCATCAAAAACACACATAAAAATATACCATGACCATGGTCCTTGAATTCTCCAAGGACCAACGAGAGCAGTGAGTTTTTACATGTCACCAATGCTCAATGCAGCCAGTGCAGTGTGGGAAAGTTCCCATTGCTAAATTTAACCATGCTAAAAAGGCAGTAGGGGATATTTCTTGAAGCAAGAAGTGCCAGGAAAGTTGTCCTGGCAGAAAATCATAAGAAAAACAGCAAGACGGGTCTCATTTAGAAGCTACAAATCAAACTGTGTCTCTAGAAACAGCCACTCGACAGATGGCACAACTGCAAGCAGTGGAATTCAAGTTAACACCCTTTGGCATTGCCTTCAAATATATTTTTCAACAGGATCATGCACATTTGCCCATCCTGTCTATCATTAATAGTCATTGAAGACTAGCATATGCTAATGTCACAGTGATCGCCAAGCAAATTGACTGCGACAGCTCAGACCTGCAGTCTTTCAGCATAAGGACTAGACTGATCTTTTTGCAGGAGCTTCAGCTTTGAGAAACCATCAAAGGGTTCAACTGTGTCCCACTGGATTCAGCAGAAAGCGGCACCACTTCAAACTGGAATTCCTAAGAGCCAACATTCCTACAACACTAATATTATTCATGTGACCTACAGGAGCACACAAACGGGAATTGACCTTCTCTACTATTGTCCACCAAGGCTGCATTTATTTGATAAAAACACAATAAAAACAGTAATACTGTAAAATATTACTACAATTCAAAATAACTTTTCTATTTGACTATATTTTAAAAGGTAAATTTATTTCTGTGATGGCAAAGCTGAATTTTCAGCATCATTACTCCAGCCTTCAGTGTCACATGATCCTTCAGAAATCATTCTAATATGCTGATTTGCTGATCAAGAAACATTCCTTATTTTATTCAGTGTTGAAAACAAGCAGTCATTAATGCTTGTAGGGAAAGTACACCCTTCTGAGTCAATATGCATTAGTAGTTTACTGCCTGAAGTAAAAGACTATTACAGTACAGGCAAACAAAAGTAACTGGAGAGCAATGCTGCTGCTTTGGAGAGTTTGGTTACACTGGTTGAGGTGACGTTGGTAATTGTTAGCCAGCTGACCTATAAGAAACAAACAATGCGTAGCTGATGCCATCAACTGTAGAGTAGACTTGTGCCGGTATTCGGTAATGCGATATATCACGGTAATGAATATGCACGATATTGTTATCGTGGGCACTTCTAAATACCGTGAATAATTATATATTACAAATTATTCAGAATTTTGAATGCATTTTAAGAATACTTTTCCCATAAACTGGTCAAAATGCACAACACCACTGTATGCTGGATGAAAGACCCGTGAGCACTCTGATGTAAAGCGGACGTGAAGCACATGGCGGAACATGCGAGATAATCGCAACATGAAAATTTGATACCGGCATATCCCTACTGTAGAGTGAAGCAATATAGGACCGGGGAAAGCTTTTTTTGGACACATACAATAGATTGGGTTTGGTGGTAATGGCAAAACACATCAAGTTGAAATAATATATTGTTAACATGATCAATTATCTGCTAATAAAACAGATTATTTAAATTTATTGGTATTGGTCAATCTTTAAAAACAGTAATGGTAATGGTGCATCTCTATTTGAAACTAAGATGTTTCACAATTTAAAGTGTCACTGGTATTCCTGCACAAGAGGTATGAAATAATTTTTACATGCTTGCATACTTCACCAAGAACACCCGAGAAATAAAGCAAATCAAATAGGAGTCTGAAATGGTATTTCCTTACAGGGACACTTATTCCCAATGATTTTTTCCAACACAGTCAAAAGTGCATAAAAAATATTATTTTCCTATTTGTCAGAAATAAAGGTTCATAAAAATTAGAGATGCACCGATTGCAATTTTCTTGGCCGATTCCGATTTCTGATTTTTTGTTAGTGTGATCTGCTGATTCCGATTTTCTTTCTAAGAACTATAATTGACAGCATATACAAACAAAAATCTACTTTTCTTCAATGCAAAGTTTTATTTTCATAAAAAAACACAGGTAAAAAGTCAGTAATAAAATAAGAACAAATATAAAAAAAATTGCAAACAGCACAAATAAATGCAATAGAATAAAGAGAGCTATGAAACTAAGTTTTTCAGGTTAAGTAAGTTTTATTCAGGTAAGAAATACAACAGAAATGAAAGTAATCAAATGTAAAATAACAAATTCAGTGTTATTTTACATTTGATATTAATTTCTGTAATCTTCATTGTAAAAATTAAATAAAGATTAATGCTTACCATTAAAGTTATAAAACGTATTCAAAGTGACTTTCTTTGTCTTTTGGTCTTTCATTAACATTACAGACAGCAGCAGTAATATTGGACTGCGGTCCCTTTAAGAGTTTATCCACGGACCCAATATACTGTTACAAAACATGCGTTCTCATTCTCAACTATTTAACGTTCTAAAACTGACTGTGTGTAACTGGATACTCGCCAAAACGGGCATTTTAGCGTTTTAGCGCAGTTAGCCACTCATTTTGGTATTTGTGGCTCACAAGCTGTTTGAGACTGAGCGCGGATTGTGCTCTCCACTAATATAGATCAGTGGTGGTGCGCGCGCGTTTGGTGTAAGCGTGAAACCTGCGGGAATGACTAAAATAATGCGCAATACAAGCACTATTTAACCGGAGCGAATGAGACGTGTGTGAGAGAGGAGTCGTCGTCGGAGAGAAGAGAGTGAGAATGCGCGGCTGACGTTATTGCCTGTGCCGCAGGTAACAAAACGGAGCGGCTCGGAATCGGAAAGAAGTGAGACTGACCGGCCGATCACTGATCCAGGCCGACCATGAGGAAAATCGGCCGATTCCGATCCCTGGCCGATCGATCGGTGCATCTCTAATAAAAATTGCTATGTGTGATTTTCTGCACAGTAGTTTAAGAGGCAGGATATCTGATATTGTATGAGGTCCAAGTCCTTCCTGTTTGTGCACTTTTTACTGCTTTGTGGTGGACAAAGAATTCAAAGCAGCCCCTCTGGATCACATAAATGCTAAAATGTTAACACTTTTTAGAATTGCACAATATAGCTCTTAACTTAAATATACCTCTTAAGGACTAATTACCATAGCAAGCAAACCATCTTGAAAGAAAAAAATGCAAAGAGGCAAAATCAGCTATTTTGGGATCATGGTTCCTGAGAATGATATACAATCAGTCTTGTTCCAACAAATTCTGCAAGCCGCAAAATGGCACAACTTATCATACGTTAGGGTAAAATGAAGGGGAAGATGTAGGTCAAACCTGTAATGAGTTCTCTAGAGTAATGTGTTTAGTAGAGATTTGCTCGAGTGACAGCGAACTAAGCAACACCCATGTGTAACCAGGAATCCCTAAAGTCATCAAAATCAACAGCAGGCCGAATATTCCCACTAGATATATAACTGCTAAACACTGTGTGTTGTTGTGCAAAACAAAGATTTGCAAAGACGCATTGTGAGGCATTTACATTGAGATTTTCAGAGGAACGCTGATGTATGAACAAAGTCTGAATACTCTGTAGGGTAAGAAAATATGCTATAATGACACAGTAGGCTGCATTTTGCATTTGGAAATTTGTAAGAAATTTGAAAGAAAATGATGCATCAACTAAAAGCAGCTTGCACTTTAAATCTGGCTATATTGCAGTATTAATGTTATGAAAGCCCATTTCTGCCTGAAAAAAAAATTAAAAGGTAATTGACTTTCTCATTATCACTACTTTATATCTCACAATTACTGTACGACTTTCTCACAATTTGTACTTCAGTTCTCATAATTGCGATTCGGTTTGCATTATTGCCATTTCTCATGACTGCGACTTTATTTCTCACAATTGATTGCAACTGATTGCGCAACATTACATCACACAATTCCAACTGTGTTTCTCGCAATTGCAACTTTGTTTCTTGTAATTGTGAATCTGTTTCTCAGAATTGCGACTTTGTTAGCGGCTTTTCTTGTGATTGCGACTTTCTCTCAATTGCTACTTTTACATTGTATTTTTGACTTGGGTGATAATCCCTCAATGTGACTTTTTATATGACTTTTAATTTCTTTTAACATTTTCTACATTTAATGCCAGTTCACACCAAGAATGATAACGATAACTATAAAGTTTTATCATTCTAATTCTATTGGAATAGGAAAGTCCACACATCAACTATAATGATAATGACACAGAGGAATTCTTTGAATTGTTGGAATCACTTTTAAAATAATTGTTTCCAGCTGATAAACGATAAAAACACTGACAGCCAATCAGAAACTATCCTGCTTTAAAGATGGCAAAACTGCAGCATGTGCTTAGAATAAACAGAATGGTTATCGTTCTTGATGAGAACAGGCTTTTACCCATTTTATTTTTCACTCTGAGGCGGACATGGGCACCCTTATAACATGGAGAAACATTCTGGTGGTTCCTGCTCAGAATAGACAGGTCTCAAGTTTCAAGCTCTACCATGGTGTGATTCTATAGCCGTACAGCAATGTACAGTAGGTTCAAAGCCTCAGCAGTAGGCTAATGAAGTCCTGGGGTAAATAATCCTAGTTGAGTTTGCTTAAACTTTTAAAACAGATTCATCTTTCCACAAATATGACTTTTAAGAACTCTTGCACTTTTGTCCTCTTCTTCTTCTAAGATTCTGTCAGATACTGTACCCTGCAGACATCAAGATTTCTGGCAGCATCTTTAACTGATCCTGTTGTGTGGATGATGTGATCCTTACGATAACAAACCCACAACTTTCCACTTCCTCTAACGTTCTCTAACCTACTGGGAACAGAAGGAAGGATTATAAAGGAAATATGGAGGAGGAAGTTAAAGACTTTAAACGTGATGCCGCTCCAGACAAGCAGGTCAAATGGCATCACACCCAAATGGTTTCAACTCAAAAAGGTTAGTTTACTCTGGATTAAAGTCTTTCCGTTACACTACATCAGGATGGCCAACTGCAACCATGTATTTGCTAGAATTAAGAGATTTAGGTCAACTTTGGTCTCATTTACAAATGGAAAACTCTTAGTAACCTTTACAACGACATGCAAAACTACATATCTGTGGTTAATTAAAATAACGGAGCCTGTCATCTGGGTATTAATATAAACCGTTCCAACGCTTTTAGTATCAATCCTCTGAAGATATCAAATAACCCCATAAAGCAACTCTATAAATACAGGTGTCCAGATGTTTTTCTCAGATGGGTCGTGAAAAACTACAAACCACTATGAGAAGCATTACTGCTTCCACATGAACCAGCTGGAGTCTGATCAACCAGCCGGTAGGGTTGCTTTAGCGTGAACAGCCCTGCCTTCACCTTAAGCGAATCAGTGTTGCGAATTGGAGGGAATGTGAAATAGAATCCAACAGAAGAATGTATGCAACTCCACAAAAAAAGCTTGTATTTTTCTGAGCGTGTCATATTGTGATATACTACCCACAAGAAACGTATGAGAGGATCACGGCAGTCCAAAAGGAACGGACTGGTTGTGTTATTTTGAGAGATGGACTCCGCAGTGCAGCAGATAAACTTTCAGCATTCACATCTGTGGATAATTGGAGTCAAGCCATTTTTAACTGAACTTCCACTGAGAGTCATATTTTAAAAAAAATCACAAAATACTCGGAATAACCTAAAAGGCTCAAAAAGGCTCCGACAGCATTTGTGTTGGCCCTTTTGTTTGTCATTTCCACCTCATGAACTTCTGTGCAGCTTCATATTTCACAGTTGTTACTTTATATCTCACAATAGTGACTTTATTGATGATAACTGTAACTTTCTCACAATTGCGACTTCACTTCTGACAACTGCAACTTTATTTTTTACAATTGCAACTTTATTTCTCACAGTTGCGACTTTATATCTCAATTCTATTTCGCACATTTTTTATTTCTCAGATTTGCTTCTTTAGCGTTCAACATTTGCAACTCTCTCACAATTGCAATTTGCTTCATTTCTCACAACTGTTACTTTTCCGTAAAATTGCAACTTTATTCCTTATTGCCGTAACTATTGTCATCATTTGTAAGTCGCTTTGGATAAAAGCATCTGTTAAATGACTAAATGTAAATCTTATAATTGCGACTTTGACAATTGCAACTTTATTTCTAACTGTCTATTTATCATAAATGTAACAATCTCTCAATTGCAACTTTATCTCACAAATGCAACTTTCTGACAATTGTGACTTAATTTCTCATATTTGCTTAATTTCTCACAATTGCGACTCAGTTTGCAATTTTTTTTCACAATTGTGACTTTATTTCTCAAAACTGTGCTTAATGCTCATATTTGCTTCCCCCCTCACATTCTCTTCTTTATTTCTAACACTTTCAAATTTGCTTAATTTGTCATAATTTCTGACGTTAAAGGGGTCATATGATGCTGCTAAAAAGCATTTCTCATATTAATTGGTTTTCTCAAATTTTCTAATTTCCCACATTTGCATCTTCATTTCTCACAATTGCAATTTCTCTGCACATCTTTCCTCATGCCTGTGGTGAAGCTGTGGTCAATTAATCAGAAATCCATTTTAAAGAACAACGCCATAGTTCTAGTGTATTCTTGTCTTTCTGTGTGCTCAGAATGGCCCTTATAAGTCAACGCCATATTCCAGGAAGAGCAGATTGTGTAACACTATCATTTTGCCCCATAGGCAGCAGAGGGACAACATATCCAAAAGCTCTCATAAACAACCACATAATCTTCAACAGAAACTGCACAGATCAAAAAAGCAAACACCTTATGGTGCATTTCAGAAATTGCATTAGGAAAGCCCATATAAAAACAAGAGGGTGTTACACTTCAGTATCACTGCTGGAAATTTAGGATATAGACACACGTATTACAAAATAAGAACACATTTATCTGTGCAAGTCACTGCACATGTTCATTACAAAATAAAATGAGCACACAAATAGAGAAGAAACACCTGCAAGCAAATGATTCATCAACTGAGACACATTGGATGCTAGTCTGAGCCCGATGATCTCTACAGTCTGAGCAATTCACACTAACAATGAGTAATCCAGTCTGACCAAAACTATTCAAGTTACATAAAACAGAATTCAGGAAACTTGCATAAGAAACACCCATCACCACTGGAAAATGCTTAATGTTCAAAACATCTTACTCAGCATCTTCACACCTGTCAACTGTTTACCTGAGAACAGCCCTAACAAGGGACCAAAACTGGTCTCTTGGAGACTTTCCTGGAAAATCTATTCGGTAACTGTGTTTTGGAGCAGGTTTTTACATAGTAGACCATGTTGGACCAGCAACACATAGCTTTAAGGCGGTCCTTCAGATAGATTTCCCAAAACTGAATGTTGTCAGTTTAGCCAATGACTATATCAAACAACAGATAATATTACAAAAATCATGCTTTAGTGCTGTATTGCCATTATCTAAGAGATAAGCTCCAAACCAAACCCAGACAGCTGACGAACACTCCAAAGGCTGCAGTAAATTATTTAAACCACTTTTGAAACTAACCTGACTAAGATGTAATCAAACACCCGATTGGAAATCCAATACAAACTTGCCATAATTTATTTAATTCATTACCATAACATAAATATCGATCCTATTTATTTGTTTTAATATTACAATGTTATTTTCACATTTATGGCAACAGTGTAGGCCTATTCTGTCAACGCAGCGCGTGCCCAATATAGCGCATCAGCAGCTCGTGCGCTGACACGCGCTCAAATGAAGTGATCAGCAAACTTACATTTTCCGCTGTAATGTGACTTTCGGCTTCAGCGACAGCGGCAGAATCTGTTTGACAGCGGTTGATATTATCCGTATAGCGTATCTGAGCTCTAACTTATGTCACACACAAAGAAACATGTTTGTATCTTATGACTCCATCCACTCGGTTGTTGAGATCAGTCGCGCTCGCGACTCACTGGCTGTTTATGCGCTTTATAATTAGAGGCGGCGCTTTCCATGACGCCCAATGGGAAGTTCAGATAAACTTGGAAGGCGAATCCCACCGTTAAATTTTTTAGCAGTCGTTTGTATTTTACTTCATTCTCTGGACAAACTGTCCACACACACAAACTGTCACACACACACACATTGCGTCTCATGTTTTACTGCCCTGTACCAACTGTCCTAGACGCCTCGTGTTCCCAGCACCTGGTCTCTTTCCTTTATCATTCACTCTAGTTTTATCAAACTCCCAGAAAATAGACCATCAGATGTGTATCTTCTTTACGCCAAATCTATTTTTCATTGTTTTTCATATTATGCTACTGTACTATATAAAAAGTTGAGTCTTGATAAATATGATGAGCGTGTATTTTGTCTTACCTACACACCAGAGGAATAGCTATGCTGGCGCGAGCAGCAGGTTTAATCACACACATGCTGACAGGTGTTTCATTAGGATAGGCAGTGAATGAGTGGTGAACGAGATGTTGTACTCTGTCGCCATCTACTGGACTATTAAAGAATGTGCACACTTTATGCACATTGAAAGGGCAAAGTTGGGCAAAACCAAGAGTGCAATGAGATGTTCACGAGTCTACATGGAACAAAAACAGACTAACTCGAGACGAAACAAGAATCCATTCAAATCTATTTGGACTGACAACACACAGTTGTCACTAATAATAATTTTTAAAAATCTAGCAATACAAATTATAGGTAATTCTGTTTACATATGTGTATGAATATTATACATAATTATACAATTATAGAATGTTATAAATCATTTTAAATATTGCCTGCATTTTTTACAAGTCAAATAAAAAGTATTATTATTAAATAATCAAGTTAATAATCTATATAAGCCAGTAGGCTTATACACTCACCAAGACTGCATTTATTTGATAAAAAATACAATAAAACAGTAATATTGTGAAATATTATTACAATCTAAAATAACTGTTTTCTATTGTAATATTCTAAACGTTTTTTGTTTTTTTTTGCTTTATTTATTCCTGTAATGCAAAGCTGAATTTTCTGTAGCCATTACTCCAGCTTCAGTGTCACATGTTCCTTCAGAAATCATTACGCTGATTTGATGCTCCGTTATCTATATATTCATTAATATTGGTTCTTATTATTATCAATAATAAAAACAGGTTTAACCTAACAGGTTTATTATTTTTGTGGAAACTGTGATGCATTTTTTTCAGGATTCTTTGGTGAACAGAAATAAAGTTAACTGAAGAGCATTTATTTGAAATAGCAAAATATATGTTTACATTTACATTTAATAATTTAGTCCAAAGCGACTTACAAATGAGGAGAACAATAGAAGCAATCAGACGAACGAGGGAGCAACAGTATGCAAGTGCTGTGACAAGTCTCAGTTAGTCTAGCACAGTACACATAGCTAGGTTTTTTTTATAGAATAGAATAGAATAGAATAGAATAGAATAGAATAGGTAAGTGCTAGTATTAGTTTGTCAGGTGCTGACGAGTTTAGGTGTATTGGTGCAGCGCCCGTTGTTGTCTTGTAGGCAAACATCAGTACCTTGAATTTGATGCGAGCAGCTACTGGTAGCCCGTGTAAACTGATGAAGAGAGGTGTAACATGAGCTTTTTTCGGTTCGTTAAAGACCACTCTCACTGCTGCATTCTGGATCAGTTGCAGAGGCTTGATAGTACATGCGGGAAGGCCCGCCAAGAGAGCATTACAATAGTCTAGTCTGGAGAGAACAAGAGTTTGGACAAGGAGTTGTGCAGCTTGCTCTGATAGGAAGGGTCTAATCTTCCTAATGTTGTATAAGGCAAATCTGCATGAGAGTTGGTTGAACACAAGTCGCTCAAGTGTCTTTGCATTGATTGGAAGAAGGGATACCGGTCTGTAGTTTTCTAAAAGTGCTGGATTTAGAGAGTGTTTCTTAAGCAGTGGGGTTACCCGAGCCTGCTTAAATGCTGTGGGATACGTACCAGTGTGAAGAGAGGTGTTGATAATGTGAGTAAGGGCAGGTATGACTGAAGAAGAAATGGCCTGAAGTATGTGAGTGGGGATAGGATCAAGTGGACAGGTAGTAGGATGATTGGAAAGGATAAGTTTGGAAACGTCTGTCTCCGAGAGTGGAGAGAAGGAGGAGAGAGAGTGTGCATTTGTCATTATGAAGTTATCATCAGTTTGTGGTGTGGGGAATTGGTCATTGATGTTTCTTGTTTTATTTATGAAGAATATTGCAAAGTCATCAGCTGTAAGATTTGATGAAGGAGGAGGGGGAGGAGGACAGAGAAGAGAAAGGTTTGTAAAGTGTGCGAGAGTCAGAACAGTTGTTAATTTTGTTATGGTAGTATGGAAGAGAGGAGTGACTGATACACATTAAGGTCAGTAGAGTTAAAAAAAAATTGTTTGTAATATGTTACAAACAAATTCTGTAAAAATATTAAGAATAAATAAAAATATTAAGAAGGAATAAATAAATAAAGTGATGTGACATGTGGCCAAGTATGGTGACCCATACTTGGAATTAGTGCTCTGCATTTAACCCATCCTAAGTGCACACACACAGTCGTGGTATTGAAGGTGGGAGAGAGCGCTGTACATTCACTCCCCCCACCCACAATCCCTGCTGGTACGAGATTCGAACCCACAACCTTTGGGTTACGAGTCAGACTCTCTTACCATTAGGCCACGACTTCCCCAATATATATAAATAAATGTCTCTTAACTTTTAAACTTTTAACTTAAAAATGTTTCTTAAGCACCAGGATCATGTGACACTGAAGACTGGGGTAATGGCTGCTGAAAATTCAGCTTTTCCATAACAGGAATAAATTACATTTTAAAAGTTATTCAAATAGAAAACAGTGTAATTTGTGTCGAGGTAGCATACTTTTGTACGATTTATTTGTTACCTTAATTTTGAAAGACAGTGCGCTGTCGCTTTAATAATTGAGCCATCAGATGCAATAGTGGGAGCCAAATCCCTTTTCCGGTCTTTTTTTCCCCTCACAAGTTTCCAAATAAAGCACGTCCCAGGCACAGACAGGGTCTGTGATTCCTGCCAGGAGTAACTCGCCTAAGCACAAAACGATGCTGAAATTTGTGATAGTATCCCTTTCCGTGGGCTTTGTGGTGGGCAGCTCAGTTCACAGAGGGGGACATCTGGACATCACCGAGACCCTGGAGGAGCATGTGGCGCAGGGACAAACCACTTTAAACGAGATGTTCAAGGAAGTGGAGAAACTTATGGAGGACACACAGCAAAAACTAGAAGAGGCTGTTCACCAGGTAGCTATGACTAGAGAAAAATCAATCTGAGTAGGTTGACATTTGAATTTTGTTTTGTGCCATGGTCCTTTGCGCAGGAGGATTGTCGCTGACCGATTCGTGAACGAATTGTTCTTTTGAGTCGAATCTTTTCATTGAATCTTGTTTTAAACCGGTTCACAAAACCTCGAACGAATAAGAGCGAACCGACTCAACAGATTTCGTTTTAATAGCAAATTTAGTTAAAAGTGCAAAATATTTACCGATGTAGATTAATTTTAGTAGTGTTTAATGTAAATGTAAGTATATCTGCTTCTAAATGACAAATGTAACTTAATTAATAGTACTATTAATAAAACGTATGGGGACAAAACGTAATATGCAATGACACCGAATCACTTTTGAACTGATTTTTTTTTTTTAATGAACTGGTTCAAAGAATTGGTTCGCTAAAATGAATCACTTCGTGATTAATCGCAAAATTTTCTTCTGAATTAGCAATATCAAATAAAAATTACAGTCAAAACATTCGCATATATTAATATGAATCTTATTTGAATCAGATGGAGAATGAGTCTTCAAAATCGCTGTTACATAGACGCAACTTTCCTGCCAGTTTTCACAATGAAACTACAACAGAGATCAAGGTTGGAAATCGGACTGTTCATCTGATAGAGAGAATCGACAAGGTATTTCTTATCTTTGATTCAGATTTTTATTTGCAAGCCTATATATGGCATTAACAGAACTTTGCGCTTTGCGTTTATATGCCTTAGTGTTTTTGTATATTGATTTGCCTTGTATAACTAAACACCTGGTTTTCCTCTAGGAAACGGTTAATAAGACTGGAAAGACTCATTTTTCTAGAACTCTCATTCAGAACATTGAGCGGTGGAATGAAGTAGATCACGTGAGTCTATTTCTCATTGATATCTCCTATAACTTTAAGTTGTTGTATACTATCTAATTTCAGAAAAGTGATCTGGATTGTTTCCAGTCATTTTAAACCGATATCAAACTTTCAATGCACAACCTGGTAAGTAAACGGTGTCCGGCTGCATTGGTCACTCTGGGCAGTGAGTTTTTCATCACTCAGGCAACCTGAGGTTAGAAAGCAGAGTTTATTTATTAAAACCAACATGGATTTTCCACTTCACCAGTCATCAAACTATCCGCTGTTTGCCTGGAAAACATGTGGCACATCATTACAGAGACTTTTCTAAACATGCTGAATTCTTGTAAACCGTTTGATAAAGTAGAGGGACAGATGGTCCGTATCAGTCCTCTTTCCACTTGTATTGCACTGTTGCTGTGGTTACCACTAAAATATAAGCTTTTATTTCTTATAAGGCTAAATAAAAATGTCCTCTACAGGAATTAATCTTTTAAACGCTAAACCAAACAACATAAACACATTATGTCTTAGTTTTCAAGACTAAATATGATGTATTCACTCTCAGTTCTCTTAAATAGCAGTAACTCTGTTTAATGGCTTTTGATTGAAATAAATTATATCTATTCCAGATTACACATATGGTCCTTATGCATTTCTATAACAATTTAACAGACGGCAGTGTCATTAGAGGCTCTTTGGCCAGGCAGTCTTCTGGCATCATGACAATAATATATGGTGAAATTAGAACAGCTGGAAAGAATGCATGGAAAGTGGTACGCTGGGGATGTGTGGTGGAGAGTTTGTGCCAGCAGCCATGTTGCCATGAGGCAGCACTTAGTGGTTTACTCTCGTCTTGCACAGTGGCAAATCTGAGCTCACAGTTAAAAGATAAGCATATATGTGAGGGATGATAATATAAAGCCGGTCATTATTGCAAAATATACCCCAGATGTGAACAATCAATACATTATTCCATGTATTACCATTTAAAATCAATTAATAAATAAAAATATTTATGTGAAGTATGTGTGTGTGGCATATGTAAAATATTACTTTATTATATTTTATCATTTTATTTGGTTTTATATATGTGTGGGTATGTAGCATATGTAACATATTACTTTATTATATTTTATCATTTTATTTGGTTTTATATGTGTGTGTGCACTGTGCAGCATATGTAAAAATATTACTTTATTATATTTTAGCATTTTATTTGGCTTTTAGTTTTAAATATATTAATTATTATTAAATAAATATATAATTATAAAAAGATATAAAGTAATTGTGATTTATATACAAAATACACACACGTTTTAATTCATTATTTTTTATTACAATGTTTTAATTATTTTAAATTATTAATTATAATTACATTATTTGATTATGAATTAATTACATTTTTAATTTAATATATATATATATTATCTATCTATCTATCTATCTATCTATCTGTCTGTCTGTCTGTCTGTCTGTCTGTCTGTCTGTCTGTCTGTCTGTCTGTCTGTCTGTCTGTCTGTCTGTCTGTCTGTCTGTCTGTCTGTCTGTCTATCTATCTATCATTTTGTCCATCTGTCCATCTGTCTGTCTGTCTGTCTGTCTGTCTATCTATCTATCATTTTGTCCGTCTGTCTGTCTGTCTGTCTGTCTATCTATCTATCTATCTATCTGTCTGTCTGTCTGTCTGTCTGTCTATCAGTCCGTCCATCAGTCCATCCGTCCATCCATCTGTCTGTCCATCTATCAGTCTGGCCGTCTGTCTGTCTGTCTGTCTATCTATCTATCTATCTATCAGTCTGTCCGTCTGTCTATCTGTCTATCTATCTGTCCATCTATCTATCAGTGTGTATGTCTGTCCGTCCATCTATCTATCTATCTGTCTGTCTGGCTATCATTCTGTCATTTTATCTATCGTTATATCTATGTCTGTTTGTAAATTATAGTGTATTCTAAATATACATTACATATATACATTTGTTTATATATTGAATATATATAGCAAATATAAATATTTTATAGTTTATATATAGAATTTATATTTTATATATTATTCAAATGTGTTTTTTTTCAGTTATTATATATATATATATATATAGTTTAAATATTGTGTAAAAATATATTGAATTTAATAATACAAAAACACTACATGTATTATTTATGTTATATACACTATAATATACATTTTTTCTTTCTTTCCTTTGCTAAATTCCTGTTCTGCTGCTTGAATTGACAGGAGTGCACAAAGGATGTGGAGTGTTGTGGAGATCAGCTGTGTGTGTGGGGTGTTTGCGCTCAGAACAGAACCAAAGGGCAGTCAGGAACCATCTGCCAGTACCAGAGCGACTGCAGTCCTCAACACTGCTGCGCCTTTCACAAAGGTTCTGTACTCTTTGTTCAGATCATCATAGTTTTACACTTGTAATAAATCCATCAATTTTTATGATGGATTTTCATGTTTTAAGATTTAAAGTCTGAGACAATGGTAAAACTAAAACTATCAATAAAATGCATTTTAAAAGTAGCAAAAATAAGTAAAGGCATAAGTAAAAGTTAACTAAAAGAAAAGTTTTAATAAAAATCAACCCATGGGAAATAAAAGTGCCTATATAAACAACCATATAAGATATCAATAAGCAGCTGGTTATATAGTAAAACATCTGAAAAATACCCCGTTTCACTGGGCCTCTCAGAAGATTTCCCTTCAGAGTACTAAATAATTGTTTCCTTGAATTTGGAATCGCACTCCTTGCTCACTCGGTTCACAACGTTCCTCAGTTTTCTTACCGTTGCCAAATATGCATTAATCACACACAAGATACAAACCAACAACATTTGCAGTGGTTTTGATACATCACTACACTTCCTGAGGTCTGGAGTCCATCTCATCTTGATCTTCTTTCTGCTGTACCGTTCTCTATAGTCTCTTTCTCTCCCACCCTCCTCCTTTTAATATTCCTGTTTTTTTTGTCTCCAGCCCTGCTTTTCCCCGTGTGCCGCCCCAAGCCACAGGAAGGCCAGGCCTGCCACAGTCACCCCAATCAGCTGATGGATCTGTTACTGTGGGACGAGGAGGGGCCGCAGGAGCACTGCCCCTGTGCTACAGACCTGCACTGCCAGCCTCTCAAGTGAGACAATTTCATCATTCCGTGCATGTGTCTAGCTGATGTGTTACACACAGCTAGGGAGGTTTGCCAAGAAAATAATGAATTTTACAGAGACGTCTATGTTTTTTATAATTGTAATCTAGCCAGCCAATCAAATTGCAGCTTGCTGGTAAGAAAAATCTCTTTTGATATTTTAGTGTGCAGCATGAACCAGATGGTTTGTGGGCACTATGAAATTTATATTTTTATATACATTTAGTAGAGGAGTTTTTTTTTCAGAGAACAAAATACATATTTATACATTTAAATTTTAATGAATAAATATGTATGCATACATGTACATGATATGTGACCCTGGACCACAAAACCAGTCATAAGGGTCAATTTTTTGAAATTGAGATTTATACATCATATGAAAGCTGAATAAATAAGCTTTCCATTGATGTATGGTTTGTTAGGATAGAACAATATTTGGCCGAGATACAACTATTAGAAAATCTGGAATCTGAGGGTGCAAAAAAATATAAATATTGAGAAAATCACCTTTAAAGTTGTCCAAATTAAGTTCTTAGCAATGCATATTACTAATCAAAAATTACATTTTTATGTATTTACGGTAGGAAATTTACAAAATGTCTTCATGGAATGATCTTTACTTAATATCCTAATGATTTTTGGCATAAAAGAAAAATAAAAAAAAGATAATTTTGACCCATACAATGCATTTTTGGCAATTGCTACAAATATACCACTTAAGACTGGTTTTGTGGTCCAGGGTCACATATATTTAAATGTATATTTAATAGAGATTTTTTCCAGAGAATAAAGACTCAAATGTATCTGTTGTTTTATGTTACAGGAATAAATCAGTGTGTGTAGATGAGAGGAATGCTTCTGGTGCAGGAAATGCAGACTGATTGTTCCCAGTGAAACTGAATTTTCATCGTTATTGGAATCTGTAATTTTGTCTTTATTTGTAACCTTAAAGTGCCTTCTTTCTCGTCCTAATTTATTGGAAGAGCTTTAATTAATAACTTTTTTTGGTGTGATTTGTATGCCACTACTACCGACAACAAATAAAATTACAAAATTAATGTTTTTTAAAAAAGTATATTTTGATAATGACATCGTTCTGAATATGTGGACATAGCTGGGCATTATATTCCTTCCAAATAAATATGATTTCTGGACATTTTTGTCTGAGTTTTGAAAAGCAAATGTTTAAAAGCAAAACTTTTTATTTAAATCGCTTGTTGAAATGTGAACAGCAGATGGCAGTGTTGAGTTGTGGTAGATATGGATGAGGCAAGCCCTTTACTGGCATATTTTCACACAAATGTGGTTTTACAGTCCAGCTCATGAACTATTATGTAAGCTTTATCATTAAAAAAAAACTTGACAGATTCTGTTACTACCTAGTGCAGCAAGTTGCGCTTAAGTACCATAAAATAATTAGCCAATTATGACTCGTTAAACTGAAAAACAAGTTCACTTAGTTTATTCTTTTTCTTTTGGTTCACAAACGAAAGGCACCCATTGATTTTTAACCCTCAACTGACATTTTAATGTGGCAATTACAATTCTCCCAGAAAACAGACAGCATAACATTGTGGGGAACGGTTCACTTATTTCTTGATAGTTACAGGATATTTAACCAAAAAATTACATATGATTAAGGCGATTTCTGGACATTTTTGTCTGAGTTTTGAAAAGCAAATGTTTAAAAGCAAAACTTTTTATTTAAATCGCTTGTTGAAATGTGAACAGCAGATGGCAGTGTTGAGTTGTGGTAGATATGGATGAGGCAAGCCCTTTACTGGCATATTTTCACACAAATGTGAATCTGTGAGGGTTTTACAGTCCAGCTCATGAACTATTATGTAAGCTTTATCATTAAAAAAAACTTGACAGATTCTGTTACTACCTAGTGCAGCAAGTTGCGCTTAAGTACCATAAAATAATTAGCCAATTATGACTCGTTAAACTGAAAAACAAGTTCACTTAGTTTATTCTTTTTCTTTTGGTTCACAAACGAAAGGCACCCATTGATTTTTAACCCTCAACTGACATTTTAATGTGGCAATTACAATTCTCCCAGAAAACAGACAGCATAACATTGTGGGGAACGGTTCACTTATTTCTTGATAGTTACAGGATATTTAACCAAAAAATTACATATGATTAAGGCAGACAAAAAGAAAGGGAAACAATCTACATTTGTCCCATAAATGCTTGACTTCAGCTTGATCTTAAGGAAGAAAATGTTATAAAATACTGTGGGAAATGAAACATGAGGTGACCTGACACACACACACACACACAAGAAACCCTATGAAGCTTAATTTTGCCCATCACAAAGAAAACTACAAAGATAATGATGACTATTATAAAGATAATAGATGACTATTAGAGGGGGGGGCAATATATTTTTCCTTTATTTTACCCTATTTTGGGGTAAAAATATACTCTTACTGAGACCCTGATTACACAAAACTCGTTTTCAAAATCACTATTCCACTCAAACTCCCACATAAAAATATGGATCCTCACAGAAGCGCTAAAATGAAGGCAAGAATTTTTTTTTTTTATCAGTTAACAGAAAAGACAGAATAGTTGATCTATAATCCACACAGTTAGTAACAATATCCATCAACTAGCGTTTCCTAGTATGATATTAAAGGGATAGTTCACCCAAAAATGAAAATGTGATGTTTATCTGCTTACCCCCAGGGCATCCAAGATGTAGGTGACTTTGTTTCTTCAGTAGAACACAAACGAAGATTTCTAACTCAAACCGTTGCAGTCTGTCAGTCATATAATGAAAGTGAATTGGAATCACGGCTTTGAGAGTCAAAAAGACATACACAAACAAAACCAAATTAAACCCTGCGGCTCGTGATGATACATTGATGTGAAAAGCCGGCGCGTGACGCGTCTTCTTCTTCTTCTTGCTTTACGGCGGATCGCAGACTTATAAGTGCATTACTGCCACCTATCTCTCAAATGGACCATTGACACTCCTAATTGAGATTGTAGATAGAGTGTCAATGGTCCATCTTCAGCCATTGTCACGCGCCGGCTGTTGAGAACGCACGCGCTCAGGACAGTTGGACATTGCGGTGAATCAGAGGTAAAAAACTATATAAATACTGTTCAGTTTCTTGCACAGACGGATCGTTTCGTGTCTTTACACAACAATGTATCATCACGAGCCGCAGGGTTTAATTTGGTTTTGTTTGTGTATGTTTTTTTGACTCTCAAAGCCGTGATTCCCATTCACTTCCATTATATGACTGACAGACTGCAACGGTTTGAGTTAAAAATCTTAGTTTGGGTTCTACTGAAGAAACAAAGTCACCTACATCTTGGATGCCCTGGGGGTAAGCAGATAAACCTCAAATTTAAATTTTTGGGTGAACTATCCCTTTAAGCTGTGCAAAGAGTTCAGCTTGTATGACAAACATAACTTGACATTGTGATCCGAAGCACGTGTGACCATAAAAGTAGCCTATACGGTGCATTTACATCTCTTCGTTTCACTTGTCATTTCGCGTCATAAACAATTACTTCCTATTTATTTCAAACATGAAAAATACTTGGTAGCAGACAAGGTTAAATTACAGTGCTTTATCTAAATAGAATGATATAGAAAACATACATCCATTAGCTCTTTCGCATGACTTCAACATTCAGACAGTTCACAAAATAATTTGGGTGAAAAAAGGAAAGAAGAACACAAATGATCATTCACCCTCTTCTGACACGGACTCGATCGAAGCGCTAAAGAACGTAAAGACGCTAAATTAGCATACATCTCACGTACGTTTTGAAAGCCGACATATTCTCAGACAGCTTTACGCAAAAGACAACATGTTTTATGTACACAAGCTCATAACCTGAACACTAATAAATTATGGCAAGAGACAATCTTCGCGCTTTATTTATAAAACATGAGCGGAACGAATCTGTAAATTGTTTGTAAAACATCAACGGCTGTTGACGAACCGTCGACGCAAACCCTTCTGCTCATGTTTATAAATAAGTAGTGCTGTCAAACGAATAATCGCGATTAATAGCAACCAAAATAAAGGTTTTTGTTTACATAATATATGTGTGTGTACTGTGTAGATTTATTATGTATATTTAAATACACACACATGCATGTATATATTTAAGAAAAATATGTTATGTTTAAACATTTAAAATATTTATATATAATATCAACTATATTCATATAAATATATACATGGAATTATTTTCAAAATATATACTGTATGTGTGTGTATTTATATATACATAATAAATATACACAGTACACACACATATATAAATAAAAACGTTTATTTTTGATGCGATTAATCGCGATTATTCGTTTAAGTTATGACCAAGCGTTCTTCCAGTGACGTTAACAGAATGCTTGGTCAAAGTTGGTTTCAGGACGTTCATAGAACATAAAAAAGCAAAAACTATCAAATGGAACGATGAAAAATGTTTTTAAAAAACTGGAATGTTCAGAAATAATGTTTTCTTAACATCAGCAAAACATTTTTAGAACATATTTTTGTTCGCTGGGTTTATGTTAAATTGTTGGTTTTGTTTCTTTACACAGGACTGCTGCGTTAAATCTGCTCTGGACTGTTTTCGGGCCAAAGTGTTTTACCTGTCAGTCACTGATGCCAAACTAAAGCGCTCACAGAAGATCATCTCACATGAGCTTCGCAAATCAGTCATTGTGAGTGTGTGTTTATGATGTTTCTGGACATAGTGGATTGCATGTCAATGCATTATAAATACACATACACCTCAGAAATGAGAAATGCTCACTTATTTATTTATTTTAACAGCTGGACAGTGTGTCCAATTGCAAGCCTGAAGAGATACAGGTGAGAAACATAAAGTAACAAAAATAAATGTTGGAAATGTATTTTGTATAAGTTGTAGTTATTTCATGTTATTACCTGTTTATTAAATTAGAATTAGAACCGTTTATTAAATTAACAGTTCTGACCTGTGCAATGTTCTGTTTCAGAAAGCTCAGTGCAAATCATGTGACTCGTACAAGAAGGTTGACAGCCAAACATTTGTGCAGAATTTTCAAACTCTTCTGCAGAAGGTTAGTTCAAAACGATCCTGAAATTTCCCTCAATTTCTTTGCGTTCATATATATATATATATATAGAGAGAGAGTTTTTGTTTACATAATAGTATGCTGTTTATATTTATTATGTATATATAAATACACACACATGCATGTATATATTTAAGAAAAATATGTTATGTTTAAACATTTAAAATATTTATATATAATATCAACTATATTCATATAAATATATACATGGAATTATTTTCAAAATATATACTGTATGTGTGTGTATTTATATATACATAATAAATATACACAGTACACACACATATATAAATAAAAACGTTTATTTTTGATGCGATTAATCGCGATTATTCGTTTTGACAGCACTATTAATAAGCCTCATAATTCATAAAAGGCAACAGGTTTAAGCAGGTGAACAAACTGAGGCTTGCCTTTTCTAGCATTTCTGGGGAAAACGAACACGTTTATTAATATCAGAGAAATTTTGACTAAAAGCGGTTGATTGCTTTCATAAAAACGTCAAGTAGTACATAAAAAATGTATTTCAAGATAACATTTTGGTATTGACTGAAGAAGAGATTTTGAAGACAAACATAAGGCCTGGAATCAGACACTCGAGACGCTTATTATTTGGTGACCCATCAATCACTTTCGTCTCAAAGATGGTAAGAGGTATCGGAAAGAAGTAAGGCAAAAGACATGAATCGAATAAAGACATCGGGCACATGATGAAGGTCATTTTTAAATTGTAGGCACAGAGCTGAGACAAAGCCATCTCTCATTTTTTCCCCCTCCTTGTGCTTCGTTGATTACAGTTGGAAAGGGGCCAATGCCGCCAACAAGAATGAGCAGGTATGCAAACCATAATAATCAAGAGTCGCCCATAACCTGTTTGCGTTCAGGATGTGCAACAGGTACAGTAAGTGCTCAAACGCTCTCGGCACGAACGCAGTCGCTCTCATTGTGCTGAGAGAGCTTCATAGACCTCGAGCCCTGACAATTCATGCTTTTCTACATAGCAGTTGAGTGCACTTGCACCCTGTGATGTTGAGGACGCATTTACACAGGAAGGGAGGATAGCGGATACTACGCCTGTACACTTGACCCTCAGAGTCTGGAGTATCACAAAGCAGAAGTGTGTGCATAGCCATCGGGAGAGGGGGGTGGGAAAGGACAGATGGGGTGGATTCAGTATCTCATGGTGCTGGAGGCTCTGAAATAGGAAAGGAACTTGAAGCACAAGCTGACGACGAAGTACCAGATGTTTCTGGCCATCTGCGAACGGGCGATGAAAATGCGCCAGATGAAGACTACCAAGATGGTGTTGAAAGTGTAGCGAATGTTCCGCAGCCTACGGGAAAAGAAAACAAAGAAAAATTGACAAAAAAGAAAAAGTTTCACATGAGAAATCCTTCTATGCTAATTAGCCGCTCAAGAAACATTTCTGATTATTATCAATGTTGAAAACAGTTTTTGTTGCATGATACACTACCATTCAATGGTTTTGCAGTAAGATTAAAAAATTTAAAAAATAAAGAAATTAATAACTTCTATTCAGTAAGGATGCATTAAATAGATCAAAAGTGACAGTAAATATATTTATAATGTTACAAAAGATCAATTTCAAAGAAATGCTGTTCTTCTGAATTTTCCATTTAAAGAATCCTTTTAACATTTGATTAGTTTATAACATTGACAATAAGAACTATATGAATAATTGAGTACCAATAATAATTGATAATAAATGATCAGCAAATTCAGCATATTAGAATGATTTCTGAAGGATCATGTGACACTGAAGACTGGAGTAATCATGCTGAAAATTCAGCTTTGCATCACAGCAATAAATTACATTTTAAAATATATTCAAATAGATAACTGTCCTTTTAAATTGTAATATTATTTTATCATATTAGTGTTTCTACTGTACATTTAATCAAACAAATGCAGATTTGGTAAGAATAAGAGACAAAAAAACGTAATTATTCCACTTTTAAACAGTAATATATTTCACATATTTAAAATCACTAAAAACTTTAGATATTAAAATTAATATTAATATATTAATCATATATTACATTGTGTCATGTTAAATAATATATTAATATTAAAACTAATATTAAAATTCTGGCCAATACTGATAAGCCAGTAATTTTTTCTAAGCTATGGCCGATAACAATAAATGGTCGATATTAAAATTCCATACTAATTTGTCTAAAATTAAAAATAATACTAAAATGAAACATTTGAAATTACAGTCTTAATTTTTTTCTTTTTTTAAGATCAACTAGGTGAGCGTTAGATTATGAAAAATTTGTTATGCAACTGATAACAATAAATTAAAAATATCTAATACTGGCCAATTACCAATATGATACTGATATATGATGCATTCCTAGCCACAAAAAAACCCCTAGTGTTAAACCGCCCAAAAGTGAGGAAAAGTCACATGACTTTGCCTATCTAGGAATTTATTCAGAAAATAAGTTTCCATCAGACTATAAAACAAGTGAATAAACGTATCCACCTCAAGCAGGCATGTATGTGCATTGTGGAAATTGAATGCGCATCTTGGAATTTCCATTTAGAATTTTTATTCAATATGCTAAATTTCACATATGTAAATGGAAAACCAAATGCCTACATCTATTCGCAGCGACCAAAAGTCATTCATGTCTCTGTCCCACATGAATGCCACAAAGTTGAGCAGTTGAATATGACAGCGCAGCAGCTACCATATTAGTGTGAATGTCCCTCTAGTTTAGTTAGTTATCCTGAAGGTAACCTAGACAACTTCCAATACTTACTTGTTCAAGTGTTTGCGTGCCGCCGGGAGTCCTGACAACTCTTCATTGAGAACATACTTTTTAGTGCCCATGCAGTAATTCTCCATGTATTCTGCCCAGTGTAACTGCCTGACGTCAATGTTAAATGCCTGAGCAAGAAAAAGACGTTTAAGACATTCATTGAGTTCAAGTATTGATAAAAGTCAGAGCCATGAGCCACTTGAATGAATGTTTCATTGACAACACATTTTAAGTGACATGATTCAGAATCACAGATGCGACTCATTTAACTGTGCCAATGGCAGACTGTGAGTGTATTAATACATAAACACACACACACCTTCTTGTCCTCAGATCCCATCTGGTTCATGAGCATGGTAACGTTGTCCATGTTCCACACCCATGAGTGACTCGTGAAGTACTCCAGCACCATCATGGCCTTGTGCAACCGAGTGATTGTCTTCATCATCCTGCGTCGCCACGGAAACGAGCGGGAGAAAAGGAGAGACATGTGAGCGTTAGCTTTAGATGAGCTTTAATGGGGGCTGGAAGTGTAGTTTGTGTCTTTTTTTCCTCTTGTTTAATCCTCAAAAGGGCAAGCGGTTTAATAAGAGCAGATGGTGACAGACTACGTCAGTAGTTTGAAGAAACCACAGCTTGTAAATGACTTAATGTTTAGTGATAGTAACAAAACATTTAATTCTATGCAATGTTCTATTATATAAAAAAACGCAGGTTATTAGTGAAGCCCATTTCTGCCTCATAGTAAAAAAAAAGTGATATAAAGCTTAAAATATGAAATATTCACAATGTTTGACATCACCTATCAATTACGAGAAATAAAGTTGCAATTGCAAGATATTAATTTGCACTGTGAGACAAAGTCATAAATACAAGAAATAATTTTGTTCGTTTTTTTCTTTTACTTGAAGGCAAAAAACTGGCTTCCACTGGTTAGTTTTCCCAAATAAAGCAAAATATTTTGGTTTGATTCAGTAAAAAAAGTGAAATAAAACAAAATTAAAATTAAACAAATAAAATAAAAAATAAAGAAAGAGAAACAAATTGAATAAATTGAAAAACTGAAAAAAAAAAAAGATTAAACAAGTAAAATAAAACAAACAAAATAAAAATGGAACAAATAGAATAAAATAAAAACAAAACAACAAAACTGAAATAAATATTAAAAAGTAAAATAAAACAAACTAAGATCAAATAAAAACAAAAAACACAAACAAATACTCCTCAGTTAGTGAAAAATAATAATTCTCCAACCCATTCATTATGTGGTGTATTTGATTCAGATTAGATCCCACTGCAGCACTTTTGAACCACAAGCCTTTGGCAAACACGACTGTGGATTCCCATGATTTGGCTAAACAATGATCACACTGTTAAAACCTTGCAGGACCTTGTAGGGCACCTGGGCGCATTTGTGTACTTAAGATTCTTGATTCTTTCTGTGTGATGCTATGTGTACCTCTATAAACTCTACCAGGTGTACAAGAATGCCAAATTTCAGGCTTTATCTGACACAGCACTGTTGAAGTTGAATGCAAATGTCCAGAAACGCCCAGTTTCCCCCATCAAGATCTCTTATGGGTTGGATAGGGAATGACTACATGCATTGTATTAGAACACCTCATTTTAAAAATCAAATTCAAAACATTCTCATGGTGTTAAAACCAATCAATTATACAAACACTTGCACCTTAAACCAGATGCATATCAGCAATACACAACAAATTTATTGAATCTGCATGAGCAGAAAGTAACATTGAACTGAAAGACCTCAGATTTAAGGTGCATAGCCAGTCGTTTCATCTCCAGGTACCAAACACATCTACTTCCTGCAATTAAAAGCAATTTTGCATGAATGGATAATTGTCAAATATGCATCCAGTGCTTCCCTTTTCATTTTTTTTTTATTTATATATTTTCACTGTAAAAAAATAATTACATTTCGAGAATAAAATCATGTTTCGCTTTAATTTTGAGTACAAAAGTCAAAAAATGTTGAGAATAAACGTATACTTCGAGAATAAACTCGTTGTGTTTCTAGAAAAACTTGAGAAAGTTTGAGAAAATTTTTTAAAAATAAAATGCTGAGAATAAACACGTGTCATGTTCATTTGATCTCGTTGGACAGTGTTAAACTGCATCTGCAGTGGCATAGGTCGTAGAGAGTAATGCTCGTGAACATTTTTCTTGATATTTAACATCCTTTTCTCGAAAATTAACAAGTTAACAACTTTTTTCTTGAAATGTAATGATTTTATTCTCAACATTTTATTTCGACAGTTTTTCTTGAAATTTAACGAGTTTAATCTCACATTATACTGTAATGACTTTTATTTCAAGATGGTTTTATTTTTTTTTATTATTGCTTGGTCCTAATCATCTTCCATAGAAAGTTATATAAAGAGATATAAAGAGAAAATATTTTTTATTTAACAGTATAAAAATTTTAATCTTGATTTCAGAATAGTCTTTAGAAAACAGAATCAAAATTTGAAAAAAAATGAGCAATGTCAAATTAAAACATATATTGCCAGTAAAACACATTGCCATATGTTTCACTTTTGTGGGAAAAAAATATAAAATGATGTACAATTCAAATAAATTTCTAAATTATTATAAAATGTATAAACAATTGTATAATTTAGTATATAGTCCCGGACCCAAGTTTGAAAGCCACCGAGTTAAAACAATTCTTAGAGCAGAGAGTTTGGTACCTGGCCCCATTATTTATGAGTGCTGTTCTCTGATCAGTTTGGCTTTTTGGATGGAAAATATTAGTGCACTTGATCTGAGCTGAGCACTCTGACCTGCTTAGTGAGTAAAGGCTGTGTTAACCAAACTATCATTCCCAACATCCACTATGTATTCATGTGCTACAAGAGAAGACCAAAAGACCTCTCTTGAAGACTTAATGGCATGGCTCAGAAGAAAAAAAAACAAAAGATGGTATTATGGTATGGATCCATCTCCTTTTCCACAAAAAAAGCGCGCAGGACTCAATGCACTTTATGGAAGCCCGGCAGCAGCGTTTGTCCGATGCCATGAAGTCGAGCAGATGGCCAGGCTAGGTGGTTCCTGAGCGGTTCCTTCCCAGCCGGCCTGCCAGCCATGCCACACCACGCACCCAACACCCAGTGCTGGAGGTGAGGGAGGGGAGGAGGGAGGACAAAGGGGTGGAGAAGCGGGTACTGAAGACCTTACCGGGGCTTCTGACCCGTCAACATGAGAAACCCGTCATACAGCAGTGCAGGAAGGGTGTGACTCACTGTGGTCCAGTACTGATTGGTAAAAGGGTTGGATCGCAGGTTAACATTGGGGCGTCTGAAAGCCTGTTCTAAGGGGTTGGTCTTGAACGTCATGTTTATGCAGTACTCTGTGGAGAGGAATACAGGCATACAACATACAAGAGCATTTTAAACACAGAGCTACACAACACACACGTATAAGCACACACACACACACACATGTGGGCGGGAAGCGTGCAGAACCCAGTCTCCGAGTGGGTTATGCATCCTTGCCCAAGACACGAAGAACGACACGTGACGGTTAGACCGAGCGTGGAGGAGGAAGCGGGGGAGGAGGAAAGGGGCGAAACAGTCGGATTTACCTGGGCTCTCTTCCTGACATCCTGAGGAAGAGATCATATAGGAATGCTGGCGCCTTGTGGCTTACAGCAATCCAGTACTGATTGATAAGGTGATTGGTTGTGAGATTTACATTTGGCCGCCTGAATGCCTGCTCGAGGGGGTTCCTCTTGAAAGTGGATATAACATGGTATTCTAAGAGACAAAAAGGGGTTCAACAGTAAACGGCACAGCTGTGCATGACTTGGTTCAGGGATAAAAAGCAACATTTTGAAGGTTTCTTCCATTCATAAGTATTGGGGTCATTTAATTGGCATTATCCAAATATTATAGGGTTGGGCAAAAAAATAAATTTTTCGATGAATCGTTTTTTTTTTTAAATGACGTCGATTCGATATCGATTCTCAAAAGCTGCGAATTGACCTTTTCCTGTATTTATTACAGAAAATATTTAAAGTGCCCCTATTATGGGTAATGAATGAAAGTTTCATATTTTGGTTTTGGAAGTCCCCAACAACAGGCTGACATGCGTGCAAGGTCAAAAAACACTTTCATTGTCTTTTGCTCAACGACTCCTTTCACTTTGCTTGATGCTAATCTGCGGTGATTGGTCCGATTGGTCTCATTTTAATGTCATCATGCCTGTATTGCCTGATAAAGCAGCGTTTGTGAGCACAGTGCTGCTTTGTGTACAGCATTACCAGGGAAACCGCTATTTTTACCGCTCCAAAAGCGGCACCTAGTGGCAAAGAATGAATTTGCATTTTCATTCAGACCAACGCGAAAAGACCAACAAGTGGGCAGTTTTTCAAAAATCCATAATAGGGGCACTTTAACACAAGATCTGACTAACGTGAATCTTATCATTAGTGTTCTCCACTACATGTCACCCTCTTATTTACCTTGTGCGATGTTATAACAGAAAGCCTGTCATTCACTCAGTGCTTATCATGGCGGAGATACTGTTGACAAGAACCAAGAACAAAGCAATATGCGTGATTTGCAATGCTCAGGTGAAATGCTATAGTAATATTACAAATCTGTGGAAGTATTTGACATCACGCGTAAAGGCACCATGATTTCCGCAATGAATGAATGAATGAATGGCGGATGGTGCAGCGCACTGTTTTGTTTACTACACACATACTAAAGCGCGGACGACGCTCGCTGTGTTTTCAGCCTCTGTTGTCTCACTATGATGATATGAATACACAAATATCATCTCCAGTTGCTCTGTGCTCTGAGAGTCACTTCATTAGCATTTTACCGTTTAATTTGAGAGAACTATCGTCATATCACATAAACAGCAGCTGCAAGTTCCTCAAGGCAACCCGTCAAAATAAAAGTTTAGTTTAACGTGAAGAAATGGTGTTAGAAATATATTACTATTTAGCAGTCTTAAGACTCAATGTAACAACAATGCTACTACTACTACTACTACTACTATACTAATAAATCTTTATTTTTAAAGAAATAATCACATTTGTTTTCTTTTTAATTTTAAGAGTAAACCTCTGTTGTGCAGCACTTTGTTTGCCAAAAATAAAAGGGTTTAATTTTCATTTGCTTAGGATAAATTAAATTAATATTTTATGGCTTCATCTGATTACCAGAAAAATTAAGAAGACCATTTTATAGGGCCCTATTATTGTTTAAAAAGGACCCTATACAAAAAAGCCTATGGCTCTTAATTTCTTTTTATTAACTCACCATTTGTAAACTAATGTTTACGGTTCATGTTTTAGAAATATCAATAGCATTTGTATTAAAACTATATTCACTGAATGTAATCAAAAAAATCGAGAATCAAACCAAGAATCGAATCGAATCGAGAGCTTGCGAATCAAAATCGAATCGGGACATCTGAATCGATACCCAGCCCTAAAATATTAAGATATTTTTCAAAGCATCATATTGTAAAATTCAGGGCTCAACATTAAAGATGGTGAGAGTATTTCATACCAGTTAACAGAACTGTAATTTATTTTAAATTAAACACAATATACTAAAAAAAATGAATAAATATACATAATATAAATAAATAAATAAAATAGTTTATACTGAATACTAAACACACTATATTATATACTAAATATATAACAAATATACTATTATATAAAATATTAAGTATCATACTGTATATATACAGTTGTGGTTAAAATTATTAGAACACTTGGCATATTTAAGAGGTTTCAGTAGTTTTTTTTTAATTAGCCATTACAATACCCATAAAACGAACTATTACCTGCGACAGAAGGAATCTGCTGGAACACTGAAAATGATGGACTGCCCCCCTAAAAGTCCAGACCTCAACCCCATAGAGCAAATTTGGGGCGAGTTAGAAAATAAACTGGACAGATCTATTGTACATTCAAAGGAATGCCTTTGGTTTGAGTTGCAGAAGGCATGGGATAACATTAGTGTTGAAGTTCTCAGGAAATACATTGACACTATGCCAGAGAGATGCTGTAATTGCTGCAAAAGGTGGACATACCAAATATTAAAGTTAAAAGTGGATAAGAACAGTACGACTCATTTCATCTGATATTTGTTGTGCTCAGAGTAACCATCTGCATGTTTCATGAACTTAATGAAATAAAATCATGTTTTGGAGGCAGAAATGTCAATATTTTCAGATCTGTCAGGTGTTCAAATAATTTTGGCCACCACTGTAGATGTTAATCAGTTTTACACAAATTATTTATATATCCTCTAGAAGATTCCACAATACTAATTTATGAGTTTAATCTACCTTCTACATTATGCGATTTTCTCTATTTTGATTTGATTGACAGGCTCAATCTTTATGAGATGATGGTATAGCGCACACATTCCCTCATTATAACTTTTAGTGATGGTAATTATGATTAAAAATAAGTAATTGGTTGGCAGAACAGATTTTATCTGATCTTCTAAACACTTTTCTTTTAAGATGCAGATTTTGTTGTTATATATATCTTAATTTAGGAAATATACAAATGCACTTCTATCTGATACATTAAAAATAAAAGCCTTCTGTGGCTTGGGCAGGGAAAATATGGGAAGGGCAACCACAAATCTGAACTACAGGTCTGACTGGGCCAGCAGAACGAAAAAAAAAAAATCCTCATTGTTGAGTCATGTTACTTATAATAGGACTGCTCCAACTGCAACACAATGCTGATTATAACCAAATATTGATTTGTATTTTAACTAATTAACTATGGTTGAAATGGTTCCAGTAGAAAATGTAAACAGTAAGACTCAGTACAAACTTGTGTACTGTGGTTCATCTAATATCTCTGATATAAATAGATATAAATGTATCCAGTCTGACTGTATTTCAGTCACTCATCATAGTCCTAGTCAAACCTGTTTTAAGAGTTCACTAGAGACATGTTTGTTGTCATAACAGTAACAACAGCAGCAAAGGCATTGAGACATATTCTCAGAAATGCTTCATTAAAAGGGAGTTACGTCGCTCAACTTAAATCACAGTGAGAAGGCTCCAGCGCGGATGAATCTAATGTTTTAAGGTGAATGTGTGGCAGTCAGTCACCGCACCGGTGTGGATATTCACTGTACTTCGCAATCACAGATTCTATATGACCCAAATAAGAATTTTCACCATATATTGTCATCTGAACAAGTAACTGCCATGTTTGTTCTGACCAACTGAGGAAAAAAGCAAGCATATTTCTGTACAGTCTAATCTCTAATTGTCATACCATTTGAATTTCATATTAAGAAACTCTTTTAATCCAAAAAAGTTAAAAGTTTTAACCCTTCGAACTGGTTTTCTTTAAAATACAAATCTTGTGTAATCCCAGGCTATCTGTAATCAGAAGCACATTTAAAACTGGAATATAATTTAATTTCATTCACTTGTTTCATAAACACATAATCCTTTCTGGATGACAATCCGCCATCAAAACGATACATTTAATTATTCCAGCTGCTGTGAGAAAAGGCTATAAACGATCCACCACCTGCAGGATCCTCACATGCGATAGCATACTAGCCGGGACAACTTCTTTATGTTTACAGACGTGATGTAATGACGCGGCAGCATGCTCGAATTTCCCGCGAAACCATACCACTCAAATTAGAAAACATTATTATAAGCTAACCATTGTGAATCGGGAAAAGTAAGGCGATAGTTTTGAACATTGGCTGGTTATGTACTTGCTCATATATTGATTTCAGATCATTTTTAACCAAAAAAGGTTACGGACTTTAGCTTTAATATAGATTAAATTTAAACTAAGATTTTAGTAATATAAGAAAAATGATAGAATCATATGTATTATACAACATGTCTGACCTAATTATGTTGTAAATCCATAAAATTCAATAAAATATACTTCTTTCCACTACATAAAAAATAAAAACCTTTTCATTGCTTTTTTTGAGCAATGAAAATGTATAACTTACTGATTAATTTTATTAAATTAAGTGTTTAGTAATAATATAATATAATACAATATAATATAATATATCAAGGACACTTATTGCCATGTTGCATTTTCCATTTAGATAGATTTTGATCTACAGCCAGATTTTAAGGTCACAACATGGTGATGAAAGGTTATAAAACCAAATATGGTATCACAAAACCACTCATAACTCATCCACTAATGGTTATCATAACTCATTCCTCCCCACCCTACTTCACTTCAGTGGAAACCAGACAGCTATGAAGTTAAGTCTCAAAAATTAAAGTCTGAATTATCAAATCCAAGTTATATCCATTCCCATATAAGAAAGAACAAAAGAATGAGCTGGCTAACGCCCATACTATACCCATACACTTGTTCAAACATGTCAGCGTTCTCAAGCTCATTCATTTAATGTGACAAGTTCTTCGATTTGCAGTCGATAGCAAAAATGAAATGGGGAAAATGAAGCACTTGAAGGCCAGCGATTTGTTTGAAAAAGTGATTCATACCAACTTCACCCCAGTGAAATGGATTGATCCCGCCTGTCGTGCAGTTGTACACCAACATACTTCTCGGCCTGCGATGGAGACAAACGACACTGTCAGAAAACTAGCGGCATTTATGCCATGACTAGGGTTGGGTATCGTTTGAATTTGATCAATTCCGATTCTGCTTATCGATTCCGATTCTTTTCGATTCACAGTTTTAATTCCAACAGAGGTGTAAAGTATTGGAGTAAATGTAATTAGTTACTGTACTTGAGTATCTTTTCGGGTACTTTGTAGACTTTGTACTTTGTCTGATGTACTTGTTTCATTACTGGATTAATCAGCATTCTTGAATGAATCTTTTGTATAATTCAAAGACAAATACATTTTAACAGCCCCTTTTCGCCACCTACTGGCGTAACAATGTAATCGATAAATCTTCATTTGAAGTGTCAAATTATTTTCACACGGTGATTTATTCTATTATAATCGCTACCATACACATCGTACACACAGTTTATATCTGAAATATAAACTTTTATAAACTATTATCCCAGTACTTTTGTGATTTGAATGTTTGTAACCCAGAAATAATGATACTGTGTGGCTGAAAAGACTGAAGCGGTTTCATTAATGACAGATGACAGCTGCTCTCTTTAGGTCGGCGACAGCGCGAACACAATTTAAATGTTCAAATCACACTGGTGTGATCGTATCTCTGCAGGGACGAACCAAGTGATCACAACATTGATCGCACACATCAAAGGTTGAGGAATGAAACAGACGAATCATTGTAATTTAGGAATAGAATCACGTTGGTGTT